TCTGGCAGAAAGTAAGTTCTTAATGTTTGTTGATTGAAGAGAGGAGTAGTAAAGGAGAAGGTGGAGGCCTGAGCAAATCTGATCCTCCCTTTGCAATATAGGAAAAGAGAAGAGGGTGTTCCTCTTCCCAAAACCTGAGAAGTACTACTGGGTCATAAGCCACATGCACCCACTAGGAGAACCTACTCTTAAACTGAAAAGCCATCTGACCACAAGAAGGTAACTTGAGGCTCCCAGACCACAGGATACACATGGGTCAGTTTCCCTTAGTGGCTTCCTGCTCTCTTTACAATGTTCTCTCTGCCACTTTCAGGAGCTACTGTGGCCTACTCACTGAATTACTATCTTGACCATCCCCATCCATGAGTGTCAAGAGGCAAGAGGAGCCTCAGATATCTTTCCAAACTCATGTGGTCAAAGGATCAAAACCTCAGCATTCCTCATCTTCTTCCAAGGGAGGTGCCACTGTTACTCAGGGGCACCCTTCGCTGATTTCCACTCTTTCCTGACATATATCTAAGAGCTTCCTATAGCTATTTGAGCCCATCCTTCTCCTGGCCACCTACTGGAGAAATCTCATTTGTCTCTATCCTTAAAGTATCTGGAAATGAGCATATGCTCATGAACTAAACAAATGAGTTAATGGATAATATGGGTTTCAAGGAGGACAGACTAGCATTTCTTTCAGGCGTACAGAGACCCCATATGGTGCCATATGCTTTTTTTTTTTTTTTTTTTTTTTTGGTTGTCTCTTAGGTCTTTGAGAGCACAGGAGGTAAGATTTTGCCTGACATAATTAAGTCCTTAAAAGCTCCATTTTTTTCCCCTCAACAAATCTCTTCCTTTCCAATTGAAGCCAAAGAGAAGACATAGACTATGAGGCTGCACTAACCAGCCCAACAGACAAATAGGGCCAGAGAGACTATCCCTGCTACTCACACAAACAACAGCCCAAATCCAACCCAACTGCTCAACAGAGAGCCTTGGATATCTGGGAGCTTCCCTAGATCAGTGAGGTGCATGTGTGGCTTGGACACAAAACTGAGTACAAGGTGTACTTATCCCTGAAAGTTTCGTTGGAAAATCTGTGTTCAGAAACACTCAGGATTGTCTGGGAGATGAGCACAGCAGGAGTGGAGCACAGGGACTAGGTCTCCAAGAGCAATTCTCATTCCTTTCATAAAGAGACAGGAAGAGACCCTGGGGAGCTCTCAGTGATAGGCCCAGGCCTGGTTCAGTTGCTGAGATGCAGCCAGGCCAATTAAATAATTGTGATGGGAAAAGAAAGGAAGCCATTCCTTTCAGGCAAACTCCCACCCCAGACAGGAGGCTCCACACAGCTGTGGCAACAGCAGCAGTAACAACAGGGCAGGGATCTCTTCCTCTTCTTCCCACTAGTTGGAACTAATGCTTAAATTAGCACCTTGGAAACACCCAGATCTGCTGGCTGTGCCTTCTCTCCCAGCTCCTGCCACTCTCTTAGACCTCCTTTTCAAGCCTGAGGTTCTCTTTCAAGTAAATAAAAAAATAAAAAAATAAAAATCTTCTTCCCTAGAAGAGCCTTTTAAGTAAGGAATGCCTTCTGGATTCTTTCCACCACTATGGGTGAGGGAGGGTTATTTAAATGATGGAGTCCCTGTGATAGGCCTTTATCAGTACAGCTTGGTCCAGAAAAGAGCAGTGAAGCTAATACCAGCATTGCCTTGTTTCCATTAGGGCTAAAGGAGACAGCCCCTATTCTGCCCTCAGAGGGGCAGGCCCACACTGAAGGAGTAAGCATGAACAATAAACTTCTGCCAAACTGTATCTATGTTGCTAACCACTGTGTCCCCAATACCTAGTATAAGATCTGGAACAGAGACGATACTACAGAAATATTTGGTGAATGAATTAGCTAAATCAGTGATATCAACTCCCTATGATATTCCTTGGAAGACAGAGTGAAGAGCTATTGCTTAAATTTTAAAGAGATAGTTTGTCTTCATTTCATAAATGAGAAAACTGAATCCAGAGGAGAGGAGAGACTTCCTAGAGGTCTCAATAAATAATAAATAGGTCACAGTTGAGTTCGATCCCGGGACCCTAGTTTTTATGGTCTACTCAAATACCTCTAAAGAGCCACTTTGCTCTTCTCTTTTGTGGTATACTGTTTTGATTCCTTATGCCCTGCAATGAAGGCTCTTTCAGAAATGCTACACAAGAATCTGCTAGTCTCAATAATACACAGAGCATTTAAAGAGTTCTGGGGATCCTCTAGATTTCAACCTGGAAACAGAGGTCAAGAAGCAGAAATCTACAGGGCAATGTCTGTGCCCCTAAAGGGGGGGTTACTGAATTGCCACTCCCATCACTCTCATCAACCTCAACAAAGTATCCTCTTACAGAGGACTCCCTTAGCCTTCAAGAAAAGGGTCTGAGGGCAACCACAGCTTTTCTGATAAGTGCCTCCTTGCATAAGCACTTCTAATCCAGAGTCACACAGACCAGAGCATTTTAGGAGTCTTCTGGGGTCACTATTTACTCAAACTATCATTGGGAATTTCAGGCAATAACAAAGGTACCAAGGACAACTAAGAAAGCCTTGTGACCTCATTCCTTCCCCCCCTTTCCTTGGACAACTATTGACTATCTTCTCAGGAACCCCAGATGGGAGGCAAGAACCAACTCATTGCTTTCTTCTCATGACTAACTTGGACCTCCTTTCCCTCCTATTTCATCCATCATCCCTTTTGGTTCTCGATTAGATGCTTAGAACTGGAAGGGCCATCTAATTTGACAAGCCAGGTTGGTTGGAAAGATAATCCAGAAAAGAATGTCCTCTTAAACCAGCCTAAAGTTCTTCAAGTTCATGGGACAGACTTCTCACCAGGATTTTCTGGCCCCCAAATATTCCAATGATGGTATCAGCCTAGGAAAAAAAAGTCCATCAGCATCTCTCCCCAGTTTAATACTGTATACTTATGTAGAGCTTCTGTTTGGGCTTCTAGAACTAAGTAGTAACAAAAAGGGAAAAGGGCTCATTTCCTGCTAGGTGGCTCCTAATGATTCTCTCTACCATCCCCCAAAAGGTGTGGCTTAGAGTTGGTCATGGGTCCCTGACAAAGTCTGTCTGGTCTGCTGTAATGGGCAGGTTACTTACTCAGGAAGCTACAAAGCACATCTGTTAGCCAGGGGTCTAGGGGCCCAAATGTGGAACATATTCCTCACCTCCCCACCTAACATATAAGGAGGAGCCTTAGGGAGCCCCAGATCTTCAAGCTTTGGAGAGCTCTGCTAGGCTCCAGCATAGCTCAGAGAATAGGGCATCCACGACTTTCAGGTTCCTGGCCTACCCTGCCTCCTTCCAGCTCCCCCTCAGGCTCCAAGGAGGAAGGGAGAAGGAAAAGTGAACAGAGCGGGGCACTCCCTCCCTTCCCCCTCTCCTTATACCAGCTGGCTAGGCCGCTGCGGCGCCTCTCGCCCCACTGCCCACCGCCAGTCGTACAAGCCAGTCAGGTAATCCCCCCTGAGCGGTGGCCATAGGGCATGGTCTCCCCTAAGCTTGGCCTCGGTCGCCCGCGTCGCCCTCCCCCTTCCATCCCCTCCGCGCCGGCAGCGATGACATCATTCCTCCCAGACTCCCGGACCGCGGACAGGGAGCAGGATGGGCGCCCAGCAAAGACTCGAAGCACGTAGGCCGAGGATGCTGGGGGCTCTTCGAAAGGGTGGGCACTGGAGGCTCCGGCGCGACCCCGCCCCCTCTCCCGTCGATTCCAGAGCTCTCTCATCCGCGCCCCTGTTTCTCCACCTCGCCGCCGAGCTCTCTCCCCCTCGACTCCAGCTCTAGCACCCCCAGCCTAGACTGCCTGCGCTCTCCTCAGAAGAACGTAATTCAGGGGTCCTGCACCGACCCCCTGTACCCACCGGTCCTTGGCCCAGGCCTGAATTCCCATCCGTATCCAGCAAACTGGCAGGCATGCTCCCTCCTTCTCTGCAAGCCTACTCCCAGTCCCTTTTAGCCTAATTGCTCCCTGGCCCCCTCCCCCGCGCTGAGCATCACAGGCCTCTAAAGCTAAGCGGCTCCTCACCTCTCATCCCAGCCCCTGGGCCTGGCCGCGGCGGTGCCCTATGACAGTTTCCTTCATTTCCCAGCTAAGGGCCTCCACTAGCGGTGTGCATGCACCATTGTGCCCCAAACATTCCACCCGACGGCCCTCCCCGTTGCTCCCTTGGCCTATCTCTGCTGACTATGTCCTAAGCCCTTACATGCCTTTTTGCTGTCACTCCACTCATTCTCCTACGGTTTTCTAGTCCTACAAGTCCCCCTCCCCCGGCGATGCGATTTCAAGGTTCCCTTTGCTCCATCCCAAGGCGCCCCCTCCGCACAGCCACCAAAGCCTGATTCCCTCCTTTCCTCCCCCTCGGGCAGCGCCCCCTCCCGGTCCTGGCCTGCCCGCCGCCCGCCCCCTCACCAGCGGCTGCATCTCCGAGTGCGCGGTGGGCACCTGGAACCGGTCGATCTCCTCCATCATGGTGCCGGCGGGCGAGCGGGCCCGGGGCCGGGCGCGGCCAGGGACGCCGACCGGACAGCGCGGGGCGGCGGCCCCAGTAGCCGGGTGGGTGGTGCAGACTAGGCCGCCCGGGACCAGTCGGGCGGGCAGGCGTCCGGGCAGATGGAGGGGTGGGCGAGGGGTGGGAGGTTCGCTGGCTGACTGAGACCAGCGTGGCTCCGTGGGCTTGCCTTAGTGCTACCGCGGCTGGGGCCCGGCCGAGCCGCAGGTCTTGCCTCGCCTCCTCCTCCGCCGCCGCCTCCTGTCAGCAGCTCAGCCACTGCGGTGACTCGGCAACTCCACTTCCGGGTCCGGGACACCGCCTGTACTTGCATTATTCATGAGGAGGTAGTGCCTGGGTGCCCCAGCCCCGCCCACATGCAGGAGTTTCTAACGCGCTCGGCCGCGGGTCGTTTTATTCCTGAGGGGGCGGGTCTTAGTGGAGCCGGAGATTCCCCGCGCGCCCAGCCCCGCCTCTCCCTCGAGCCGGGAGGGGGCGTCAGAGGCGCCTGCGCCTTGGCTAAAGGTTGGTTGCTGGGCAACCGCGTCTGGGAGGAGCCGATTCTATACTGCAAGGGCGCGGGGACCCACATCGACTGCTGTCCCCAAAGAACCCCTGCAACTGGGAATTGAAGTGAAAGAGAATCCGGATTTCCTGTGCGTGATCGAGGGGACAAACACATTCCTAATCCTCAGGCGAGAGAGTATTTTGTAGGTGTTCCAAGTGTTGAGGTGTTTCCTGCTTCTTCCAAGATGCCCCATAAACAGCCGCCTCGTAAGCAGGTACCACACACCCCGACTGCCCTCTCCCAATGACCTCTGAGGACACCGATCATCTTCTACTGATCCTTCATCTTCCTTTCTCTGTTGACCCTTAACCTCTCTCTCTGTGAACCCTTGACTGTGTTTCCACTGACCTCTAACCCTGTCCTTTTCTCTCCCTCTAATCCTAGCTTCCTCTCACACACTGCCCCTGATCCACTATTTCCCACTTTCCTTTCACTTGTCCTCCCCTCGCCATTCCATTCCCTCTCTCCACTCACACCACAGACCCTCCTGACCAGTCCATCTGTCTTACCTCCCACCCCCACCCCCCCTGATACCTTCCTCATTGCCCTTATATTCTTGTCCCAAAGAAATTTTTTTTCCAGCCATTTTCTGTATGTCCAGCGCTGGGCTAGGTGGGGACACAGGCCTTTGAGACCCCACAGAGGGAGTGCAAGAGAACTGTACAGGAGACACAGAACAGATTATGTACAGGAGTTTGGCTTAGATTTTCTGTGCTGGGAGACTTGTGAGGAGAGAGAGGTCAGGTAAAGAGGAAGAGAAGAGAGATCTTTTTCCCATTCTTGCCCCCCACCCCCACATCACACACTTGGACACACCAAACACTGGCCCCGACTATTTCTGGAGCCTCATATGTCTCTCTTTGCTGTGAGTCCCTGGACCACTCCTGTGACTCATTCAGTCATTTGAACATTGTGTCCTTGTTGCCACCTGGCCAGATGTCATCCCTTGGGTAACTTGGATACCCAAGAGTTAGCCCCTTCACCCACCAAGTACAGAGTTCTGCTTTCCTCCCCAGCATCACTCTGGAAGGTAAGGTAAGGACCAGCTTCTCAAGGAGCCCTCTGTGGTTGTCACTCAGTCCTTTAAGAATTCACTTTTTCCAAACCCTTTATGAATTATCACCTTGGGACTAATATGCGGTTTCTGACTCTGTGAAGCAGAACTTCTATTTATTTATTCTAAGTTTCCTTCACTCAGATCTAGGAATTTTGAGGTTTGGAAAGCAAATCTGTGTCCATGCTGTTTGTGACTTTACATATTTTGGTTTGGCTTTCTCCATATTAGTCTTTGCTAGTTTGCTTCTTTCACCTGTCCTTCCAGAGCAGGTGGACTCATCTCTCTTAGATCTCTGCAACTATGAGGAGGCTGCTGTTCCTGTATGGCCATGCCCTAGTTTTATGTCAGGGTAGCTGTGTTTTTAAGCTCATATACAGTGCTTGGGCCTACTGACTTAATTTACATAAAGTTTGTTTTAAATTCAGCATTACTAATGTCTGGCTCACATACAATGAAATGGACATTTTAGTTGTACATGTTGACAAGTTTTGACAAATTTATACACTTGTGAACCACCACTACAATTGAGATATAGGACACTTCCTCTACCCCCAAAGTTTTCTTGTGCCTCATCCCAGTCAGTTCTTCCCAACCCTGCAGGCCCAGGTAACCATTGTTTTCTGTCACTTGCAGATGAGATTTGTGTTTCCTGGCACTTAAAGTTTGAACAAGCTTGGGGTCAGTTTCTCCAGCCCATTAGGGGAGACGTTAGAGTCTAGTTTCACTGAGAGCAGAGAGCGGTGACAGCAGATAGGAAGCAGAAAAGCCTGGGTCAACTGACCATATACACATGGACGCATGGAAACAACCCTATGTTCACATATGTATACACTGGCTATGGACACATCAGTGCTGCCCCCTAGAGGGAAGAGTTGTTTTAATGTGTAATATTGGTGAGTGGGGTGTGAGAAAAGGTTGGGTTGTGCTAGGTTGTATTCTCCGCTCTCTTGTCTCAGTGAAGGTCAATCAGGGTCACTGGTGAGCTGGGTGTGCGACAGTCTAGAGAGGTTTGAGAAGTTGTGCCTTTCCTCTGGGAACTCTGGGGAACTCTGGGGTTCCCCTGAACCTAGCACAACTCCTCCCTCTAGGGGAGAGAGAACACAGGCATACAAAGATAAGAGAGGATGGGATCCCTGGATCTGGCAGGAAGAGAGACATACAGGTTGAAGCAGCCTAAGCTTCAGGGAGGAGGTATCTATGACTTGGCTGCCTGCAGTGTAAAGGGAAGGTCAGGACTGAGCTTGTGACTCCCTCTTGTCCTCAGGATAAAGTCCCAAAAGTCCAACTTGTTTTGTATGGCCTGCAAAGCCTTGCAAGGTCTAGCTGTTGCCACAAAACCTACTTCAGATCCCACCATTGCTCTGTGAAAATTCCATAGTTGCAGCACACTGAACTGCCCTCACTTCCTGGAAAATGACATCCACACACTCTTCTCTAGACCTTTGAAACTGATGTTTCCTCTACCTGCCTGGTATAATCATTTGTCTGTGTCCACCTTTTCCATGCCATTCTGCCTCAAATTTCTTCATTTTCCAGCCATACATCAGGTCTCAGCTTGGCTGTCATATTCTATAAGATATTAAGTCCCCTTTTTGGAGAGACAGGATAGGGTGATAGCCCCCCTAGACTATGTGATAGCATAGTGAGAATGTCTGTCTCATTCATCGTTGATTCCCCTGAACATAGCACAATGCCTGGAATATATTAAATTCTGAAAATGAAATGAATATGAGTTCTGAATGCCTGGAGTTATTCTTTAGAAATTTTGATCCAAGTGTGTTTAAATTTTTTTTAATGTTTATTTATTTTTGACAGAGAGAGAGAGACAGAGCATGAGTGGGGGAGGGGCAGAGAGAGAGGGAGACACAGAATCTGAAGCAAGCTCCAGGCTCTGAGCTGTCAGCACAGAGCACGATGCAGGGCTCGAACCCACGAACCATGAGATTATGACCTGAGCCCAAGTCGGATGCTCAACCGACTGAGCCACCCAGGCGCCCCCTTTAAGTGTGTTTAAAGTATAGGAGGGCACCTGGTGGGATGAGCACTTGGTGTTGTATGGAAACAAATTTGACAATAAATTTCATATTAAAAAAAAATAGTATAGGAAGGGGAACGCCTGAGATGAAGAGACTAGTGGGGAGTGATATCAAGAAAATGTCACTACAGAAGCATGTTTTTCTGGGTTCATGTTTATATCTGCTTTGGCAGTAGAGCTATGAATGATTCAAAATTGAATCATATGTTGTATGGAAACCAATTTGACAATAAATTTCATATATAAAAAAAAATAAAAATAAAAATAAAAATGGTTTTGGGGTGCCTGAAAAAAAAAAAAACAAAATTGAATCATATGTACCCATGCCTTAAGATCTGGGTATTAGAGATTTAAGAGGTCATCAATTCTGATGCCATAGTCATTCTCATTCAACAATTATTTATTGATCACCTACTATATGCCAGGTACTGTTCTAGGCACTGGTGATACAGAAACAAACAAAACAAACAAAAATCCCTGCTCTCGTGGATCTTATCTTTTAGTTGGAGGTAAATTGTCAATAAACAAATAAGTAAAATATACAGCTTATCAGATGATAATAGGTGTCAAGGATTAAAATAAAGCAGGGAAATGGAGTAGGAAGTTCAGGGAACCAGAAGATTATGATTTAAACATAGCAGTCACAGAAGGCCTCACAAAGGTGGCATTCGAGAAGGATCCAGAAGAAATGAACAAGTTAGCCTCCAGACTGAGGGCATAGCAAGAGTAAAGTTCCTGGTGTGGAAGCTTGCTATAAATGTTCTAGATCAGCAAGGCAGGAGGAAGGGGGGCAGTGGCAGGAAATAAGATCAGAGAGGTGTATCCCTCTACTCTATAAGGTTAATCAAATAACCCATGGCATATTAAATTGGTTGTGATAGAGCTCCATGAATCATAATTTGTAATTAAAATGCATGAATGCCAGGCACCATAAACCATGACCAGCCCAAAACATCACTGGTAATGCCCCAATAACAAAGTGTCCTTCCCCAAAAATTTGAGAATTCCAACTGGTTGCAATGTGTATATGTGCAGGAGGAGCTTTGCAACGTTGCCAAACATTGCCTGGCAGCCAGACTTCTTAGTAGAGAACTGAATTAGAGTCTTCTGTGAACTCCAGTTAAAAGCTAATTTTAGTTTATGACTAACAAATTTTAGTACTTCTTTATAACTCAGTTAGTTACCATAAAAAAAAAAATCAGTCTGGAACTTTGCATCATTTGCCTGTGAGAGCCAAAGAAAGGACTTGCATTTGCATTTTTGGATCATCTTATGGTCTCTCCAGAGGCCCCTGAGGGACAGTACTTTTAGAACTGATGATCTTGATGAGAGGTGACTAGGGTAGGGGAGAATGGGCAAGAATGCATACAAGGCCAAAAAAGAATCTTAGATGATTCAGAAATTTTGACCTGGTGACTGAGCCTGGGATCCATAGAAGAAAGGACAAGAGGAGGTGAGTGGAATCTAAGGGCAGTTAAAGTGTTTCTATACGTTCAAACTAAGATATCCACTCTCTTGTGACCCTTTTTCTCAGTGTCATCCTTATACCTCCTATCTTCCTCAAGCCCTAGATATCATTCACCCCTTTATCTCCTAAATACCTCTCAAATCAAACCACTTTTTCATATTCACTGTCACCTTCCTAGCCCAGCCTATACCATCTCTCACTCAGAGTACTGTAAAAGCCTTATACCAGTACTCTCATCCACTCATACGCCTTACAATCCATTCTCTACAACTGCATCGAATGATTTGTTTCACATTGTCAGTTTGAGGGGCACCTGGGTGGCTCAGTCAGTTAGGCGTCTGACTCTTGATTTCAGCTCAGGTCATGATCTCAAAGTTCATGGGATAGAGCCCCACGGGCTCTGGGCTGATAGCAGGGAGCCTGCTTGAGATTCTCTCTCCCCTCTCTCTCTGCCCCTCCCCTGTTCATGCTTGCACTCTCTCTCTCCATCAAAATAAATAAATAAATAAATAAATAAATAGACATTTTCAAAAACCTGTCATTTTGATTATGTCATCTCCTGCTTAGAACCCTTCAATGAATTCCCATTGCTCTTAGGATAGGGAAAATTTTTTTAGATAACACTTCAGGGGCCTATATGGGCCGAGGCTTGTT